AAATCTACCAAATGTTCCACCACCAATGCCACGACCTGTTCTACCATAAATACCACATCCATCTCCTCAAGTACAGCCCCCTCCCAATGCACCAGAACTAGAAAACATTCAAATGGAGGAAGCAGAGGAAATAAACCTGCTGGGGTCCGGACCAGTCCTAGAATTTTCAAGTCTCAATGAGGTAAAAGTGTTTCTTTTCAGGGAACTACTAGAGAAGAGATATGTGCTCAGTTGCCCTCATGCACTTTACAAGTGCTCAATGGATATGAGGCCCCCTCAGGACCCAACGGCGGGGAATCATGCAATGATTTTGGTCCCTTCACTGAGGAGGAACCCAGTGCTGTAAGCTCAAATGGAAAATGGTCCAACAAACAACCATGCAATGATGTTCAGGCCTACTAATATAATTATATGGAACATCCGTGGAGGTAACAATGAGAACTTCAGGGTTAATTTTAGAGAGGTGATAGATACGCATAGGCCATGCATGGTAACACTGTTGGAAACAAGAATGGAAAATCATATCTCCCTCCTTAGTGATTTTGCATTCTCAGAAATGATTGAGGTTCCAAGTGAGGGCCAATCTGGATGCATGGTGATCCTCTGGGATTCCAGTGTTGTTAGGTTCGTAACTTTGTTAGGAGAAATCAGGAGATTCATTCCACTATTGGGGTACTCTCCTCTCAAATTACTTGGCTTTTTTCCTCTATTTATGCTAGTACTAAGATTGAAAAAAGACGTGAATTATCGAACAATATAGAAAATATTAATACGGGTTATAAGGGTCCTTGTTTGTTTGGGGGGGGGGGGGACTTTAATGATATCCTTAGTGCTAATGATACGCTTGGTGGAAATCCCATCAACCGTAGGCGCAATAATTCTTTTTGGAATAGCATAAACAATTGTAACTTACTGGACCTAGGTTACAAGGGGTGCAAATAGTCAAATCATAGGAAAAAGTCTAGGGGTTTAATTATGGAGAGACTAGATAGAGTTTTTGTTAACAAAGAGTGATTATCAATATATCCCAAAGCAGTGGTCATCCACCTTCCTAAGACCCATTTCGATCACAACCCCTTGTTAATTAGTCTCTCCCCAAAAAATGTGAATCATTGTAGTAAACCATTCCGTTTGAAAACCATTTCGTGTAGGCATCCGGACTTTATTAACTTAGTTAAACACTGTTGGACTGATAATGACCTTATTGGTGCTCAAAATGTCTTTAGAGATGAGGTCATTTTATGGAAGAATAATATATTTGGAGACATTTTCAAAAAGAAAAAAAAAGGATTCTAGCTAGACTAAGTGGAATCCTATCTTCTCCTAATTATCATATAAGTCATTTCTTACAAGATCTAGAATCTAACTTACAACTTGAATATAATAATATTTTAAAAATAGAACATGACTTCTGGAAACTAAGATCTAGAATTAATTGGCTAAATGAAGGCGAGGCAAATACTAAATACTACCATATTATGGCCTCTAATCATAAATGCCGTAATGCCATTATGTATTTCACAAATGAGAATGGAAACTGGATCTCTGAACCTAAACAAATTCTTGACTATACTCTCTCCTTTTTTAGGGAAGCTTTTAAGATATCCAAAACTTCCTCCCCTAATAACATTACCATAGGTGATCCCTCGTGCTTTAATAAGGTTGACCTAAGTAGCCTTGATAACCCTTTATCTAATGTGGAAATCACCAAGGCTATATTTTCTTTTAAACCTTTTAAGGCTCCAGGTCCGGATGACATTCATCCTTTTTTTTACAAAAAATATTGGCATATCATTGGTGACTCCATAATAAACTACCGTTACAAGGTTTTCAAAACCCAATATCTGCCTAGTAGCATCAATGATACCTTTATTTGTCTCATACCATAGTTTCCTAATGCAAATAACCTCAAAATTTTTTGACCTATTGGTCTTTGCAACACCTCTTACAAAATAATCACTAAAATTATTGCCAACAGGATAAAATCTTCCCTTCCTTACCTTATCAATCCTATGTAGTTCAGCTTTATTAAGAATAGAAGAGACTGTGATAATGCAATTATTATCCAGGAAATTATGAATAACCTTCGTAGATAAAAAAAATCCAACTTTGATATGTTAATCAAATTAGATTTGGAGAAGGTTTTTGATAGACTGGAATGGTCCTTTGTGTATAAGACCCTTAAATACTTCCAGTTTCCCCCAAATTTATCTCGTCTTATTATGCATTGCATAAGTACTAGTTCTATGGGGATCCTAGTGAATGGTGCTAGAACAACTTTTTCTCAACCTAGTCGGGGTATTCGTCAGGGTGATCCCATATCTCCCTATATATTCATTCTTTGCCTCGAACTCTTATCTAGATTAATAAACCACCAAGTAGACACATTAAGATGTGATCCTATTAACTTTAAACAAAAAGGCCCCTCCTTTTCCCATATTCTTTTTGCTGATGACATAAACCTAATGGGAAAAGCAAACAAAAAAACTGGTCATTGCATAAAATCTTGCATGGATTATTTTTGCAATGAATCTGGGCTAGCCATAAACACCTACAAATCAAGAATTTTCTTACCTAAAAATTGCCCTAAGGATTTCAGCTTATTTCTAACAAGCCTCTTTGGTATAAAATCCACCTATGAATTTGGTAAGTACCTTGGCTTTCCAGTCCTAAATCACTCTCCCACTACCAATAACTTCCAATTTATCATAGATAAATTGCAAACCAAGTTGTCTCACTGGAAATGCTCTTTCCTAAGTATGGCTAGAAGAGTACTCTAGCTTCAAGTACCTTAAGTGTCATTCCTACTCACTCTATGCAATACATCTTTCTTCCCCCTAAAATCTTAAAGAAGATTGATAAAATTCAAAGGGACTTTATCTGGGGATCCACTAGCTCAGCTAAACAACTACACCTAATTAGCTGGCAAAATATTACTACTGATAAAAACAAGGGGGGGGGGGGGGTTGGGTATTCGCCCTGATAAAGCTAAAAATTTATTTTTACTTTCAAGTATAGCATGGAGACTCTTGAAAAACCCTACTATTCCATGGGGCCACCTGATTATGGCCAATATGCAACGAATAAAGCTGCCACTACCACTTCATTCATCTGGAAATCTATCCTAAAGGGATGGAAAGTGTGCAACAATGGTATTCTTTGACATCCTACTATTAACTATAGGATTAGCATTTGGTATACCAATTGGATCTATAATTTAAAATCGCTTAGACGCTCAATAGAAGGCTCCTTAAGTTGGAAGGACCTAATTCTTTCTATAGGAAACCTCATCAATAACAATGAACAGAATACTAAGGATATTTCTTTTGATTTGCCTAGTGAAATCATTAATAAACTTTCCCTTACCCCATCCCTAGTAAATGATAAAAAATTGATAGAACTAGCTGGAGCCTCAACTTAAATGGTCTTTTTACCATCAAGTCTTTCTATAAACTTCTATCTAAGGTCAATCCACCTTCCAACTCTTTTAAGTGAATTTGGAACCTCCATTGCCCCAATAAAATAAAGTTCTTCCTTTGGCAGTTCATGCACAATCGTATCCCTTACCGAGCCTATGTAGCTAAAATAAGAATTAATATTGATGCTACTTGTACCATTTGCAAAACTGGGGTGGAGGACATCCAACACATTTTTATTAATTGTCCACTATCTAACAGTCTTTGGAAAAAACGGGTCTCCCCTTCATAAACATTAATAGTGACACAAATTGGCTAGTAAAGCTGAGGGATATCTTCATTCAGAATTGTAATCTTCAGATAAATTGGGTTACTCTATTTTCCTTCTCCATATGGGAATTATGAAAAAACAGAAATCATAATAATATTAACCACCTTAATAATTATTTGGAAGTAAGAAAAATTATCCATCTAGCATGGGAGTTCAAATTTTTCACAGAGAAAAATCCCTTCACGCACAAAAAAATCACTATTGAGATCAATTGGAACAAACCTCCTAAAGGTATGATTAAATTAAGTTGTAATGGTCTTTTTCTAGTAACAATAATGCATCTGGGCTTGGTGGTGCATTACGAAATAGTAACGGAGACTGAATTGTGGGATTCCACAAAGCAAGCCAAGCAATTTCTCCTACTCATGCAGAGTTGATGGCATTGCTAGAAGGATTGAAAATTGTTAAAGAAATGAACTTCCTAAATCTGGAAATTGAAACGGACAGTACGGATGTCATCAAGCTTATATATGAGGATAGCTATAACTTCTCTAACATTGTTACTGAATGCAAATGGTTAATGCACCAATTGAAGCTCCCACGCCTGAAGCATAATTTCAGGGAGGGAAATAAGGTGGCACATATGCTGGCCAAGGAAGCCATCAAGAGCCCACCATCTACAAAGTGTTTTTACCATGCCTGTCCACCCTATTGAACCGAACGTGAAAGTAATTTTCCATCAGACGGCTTTTCCTGCAACTCTACTCTCGATTTGGATTATATATTCAAAAAGGTTCGTTCTCGGCCATTCCACACGTTGCCTAGCAGAGACGTGGTTATCTGAAGTGGATTCTCTCTTTTGTAGTAGATGCCAAACCGTTGGGTGATTTATTTCCAATAATGCCAACGATGGATGATATTATGGATTAATTTCCTGTCGGGAGCGTGTTACTTTTCAAAGCTTTTGTTGACAACAAGTGATCAAGAGCAAGCATGGTATTTGTAATAGTTTTAAGAATATTTCTACTAATGTTTGTTACTATTCGGCAACTATGGGCAACAGTAATGCCCTAAAAACATCTACTATGCCAATATAGTCTTGCTTTAAGTTATATAATATATTCGCGTGTTTTGTTCAAAAAAAAGAAAAGAAAAGAGAACTTTATCAGACATAATATTTGCAAGAGCTATAAAATAAAATATATGCATAGTACATAATATTTTTTATTCAAATAATAGCTACGGAATTACTTTCAAACAACATCAAATAAATAAAAACGAAAAAATTCGTTGACTTTTTCTCACCTAGAAGATTAAACTTGATAATTAGTCCACATGTTAGCTGCTATGCCACCTCTAATCAACTGCCCCCTTCTAAACTCCTCATTACTTTTCCTAGGATTTGGTGGTTCTTTATGCACATCATTATCATTCATAAGCTCCGCATCAACTTGCGCAAGTAATTCATCATTTGGATTTGCACCTCTTAAGTAGTTGTGCAAAATACAACATGCAAAAATAATAAGCTTTTGGGTTTCAACACCATATGATAGTTCAGTTGAACTAGAAATGATAGGAAATCTCTTCTTAAGAACTCCAAAAGCTCGTTCAATAGCATTACGCAAAGATGCGTGTTGCAGGTTAAATAATTCGCGAGGATTTCGAGGTAGATTTCTTGAATACTCTTTCAAGTGATATCGCTCCCCCCAATAAGGCATAATAAGTCCACTTCTCAACATCAATCCAACATCAACAAGGTAGTATTTTCCTAAAGATGAAAAGTAAAAGCTTTAATTATTTATTCATCACATCTAACTTTCCCTAGATAAATATATGAAATATTTACCTTCTAGAAGTTTTAGTGGGTTTTGTCTATTTAACGCTTCTTTCATGATTCTTGAATCAGATGCCGCCCCTTCCCAACCAGCTAACACATATGTGAATTTTAAATCAAATGTGCATGCAGCCAATACATTTTGTGTTGGATAATCTTTTCTTCCACGATATTTGGGTGCTTCACTTTGTGAAACTTTAAAACGTATATGTGTTCCATAAGTTGCACCAATACAATCCTGATATTATTATAATAAATTATATGCAATCAATCTTGAATTTAGCTAAAAGTTCAATAAAATTATAATTGTGTTCACCTTAAAATATGGGTAGAATCTTGGGCTGCTGGCAATTTCAGAAGGAACTTGAGAGCCATCAGGTTGTTTAATAAGTTTTTCATATAACCCCAAGATCGCTCACAGGACAATATGAAAATGACGACTGACCGACTCTCCAAATCGTCGAAAGATAAAAGCTAACTCGCGACTCGTCGTATTATGTGCTAACAGGTAAAGTGTTTTTGCAACTTGCTCTTCAACTGTTGCTTGAAGTGTTGGTCTAAGATCACCCTCTCTACACATAGATCGTAAAAGCTAAAGGGGTCATTCTTATAATATTACGACAAAGTTCAGTTGAGAATAAATGACTCAATAATTCATGTCTAACTTGTTCATTTTCCAGCCGTATATCATGTGTGATCGCACGTCGGTCATTTTCAATTTCACGTACATAAGTCCAAAACCAAATAGCTACTAAGCAAGCAGCATAAGTAGCTAAAGAGCTCACTTGTTCCAATATCTGTCTATTATTGTGATTATTTCGACCAGCCATCTGTAATAAAATTAAGTGAGATACATCAACCAATTAACTATGTAAAATAAATATGAATCGAAAATAGAACTCTTCTTCATAGAACACATTGTTAAGTATGAAGGAGAATTCAGATGCATGCTAGTAGGATTGTACAAAAAAGAGAATTCTAGTCAAAGTCAGAAACTTATTAGAACAATATTTCAGCATAAAATATCATCGTGTAAAACTTCACATGAGTCAATCAATATTTAATATTCTAATGCTATCAAAGAAACTTACTACTCCATGTGGACGAATCCACTTCAAGTATTTAAACTAATTAGAAAAATACTACTGGTTTCATCTAGAGAGGCTACATACTGTGTACTTTATGGTTCATAGATTCGTACATGGATGATTGTTACAATAGAAGCCACACATAATTCATATTTTAAATTTCTTGTCATTTTTGGCTGTATCAAACTAATAACTTGATGCTACTCTTTAAACCATGATATTAACTTGATAAATTATATCACCAGAACATATAGTTTGCAAAGATCATAGATGAACTAACCAGGGAAAATACACAAGACAAGAGAGGGAAAACTAACCAGGGAAAACTAAGCAGAAAAAATGCACGACAGAATGATGGAGACAAAGTATGTAGTTGGGTGAAGTATAATATAAATAATAGGGTAAAGGGTAAAATTGAAATATAGAATAATAAGTGTGAGCGTAATTGGAAAGAAAAATACGGAACAATCCCACCACACCGATTTGGTTGTTTCATAAAATAGGGCTTTTCATTGTTCCGGAACAATGAATTTAATAATACGATACAATCAGTTTTATATTAACAATAAAAAAAATATTGTATCTGGGATGACAATACAATACAATACGATGGGAAACAACCATCCAAACAATACGTTAAGCTTTCAACCTTAGACTAAGTGTCTCAACTCATTCCGAAACCTCTCCGGACCCAAACCAACTACCCCGGCAAGTCATATAACAACTGTAAAACATTAAAATGAGCAGTAAATGGGGGAATAAGGCTACAACTCTCAATACGACCGGCCGGATCGTTACAATGCGAGTCCTAAATTTTTTGTATTACATATTTGTCATCGACTCTATTTAAAAGTAAGGTTGAACATGAAATTTTTTTCAGACTAGAAGGATCATCTACAAAGCTATTCGTTTTATCTATATAATGTTTACAAAAGAATTTGTATCCCTATTCCGATCGAGTTACTGGAAAGAAATGTCTCCTAGCTCAACCCCATATCCCTTTCTATTCTATTTATCGGCTAGCTAAAAATGGAATAGATCTAGGATGTAATATTGTGCTATTGTATCCCTTGGTTTTGTTATTCATTATACGGGCATGAATTTATACACTAAGTTTTTGTTATCTTTATTTTATTAGTCTATTTTTTTATATGTAAGAAGCTATATGCGATTATTATAAGATATATAAATATATCTTTTTCATACTGTGTTAACTAACATGAATGGCAAATAAAAGGCTACAGATACGACTTTATATAAAATAACATTTGATGCATTCCTCTATAGAATTTGGATGCATGGTTATTTGCTTTGGACAGTGTAACGACCCGACCGGTCATTTTGAGCTCTAGTACGTCGTTCAGCGGTTTGAGACCATGAACATATTCACTTCAGGTATTATGACTTGCGCTCATGGTTGGAATCAATTTTCGGGAAGTTCGAAGTTGATTTGGAAAGAAAATTCTCATTTTGCAAGATTTAAGTTGCAAGAATTGACTAAGATTGGATTTTTGAGTAAGCAACCTCGGAATCGGGATTTGAAGGTTCCAGTAGGTTCGTATGATGATTTTGGACTTGGGCGTATGTCCGGATCGGGTTTTGGATGACCCGAGAGCGTTTCAGCGCCTAGTGTAGAAGTTAGTATTTTGGAAGAATTTCATAAATTTGGGTTGCGGTGCATTTCAGTGTTATCGATGTCCGTTTGGGATTCCGAGCCTGGAATAGCTTCGTATGGTAATACTGGTATTGGGGGCGCGTCCAAAAGTGGAGTTGGATGTCCGTAGGTCATTTTGGAGTTATTTGGCTAAAGTTAGAAATTTAAAGGTTTCGAGAAGTTTGACCTTAGGTGGACCTTTTGATATCGGGGTCGGATTCTGATTCAGGAAGTTGAAGTGAGTCCGCAATGTTGAATATGAATTGTGTGCAAAATTTGAGGTCAATCGGACCTGATTTGATAGGGTTCGGCATTGAATGTTGAAGTTTGAATTCTAAAGTTCATTAAGCTTGAATTGGAGCGCAATTCATGGTTTTAGCGTTATTTGATGTGATTTGAGGCCTCGAGCAGGTCCGCGTTATGTTATGGGACTGGTTGGTGTGATTGGACAGGGACCCGGGGGCCTCGGGTGGATTCCGGGCGGTTAATGGATCAAATTTGGAATTTGAAGAAGAAATGAAGCAACTGCCTTGTGGTGTAACCGCACGTGTGAGGCTTGGGCCACAGGTGCGGGGCCGCAGAAGTGTCCATGAGGGCCGCAGATGCGATTTGAGCTGGAAGTGCAGAGACCGCAGATGTGGTCATCTCGTCGCAGAAGCGGGACCGCACCTGCGGAAGGGGAAGCGCATAGGCGGAAGGGGGGCAGCTTGTGGAAGACTGCAGAAGCGGTAGTGGGGCCGCACTTGCGGAACCGCAGAGGTGGTCAAGTGACTACAGGCGCGAAAAGGCTGGAGGCAGTGAGGTTTCTTTAAAATCGGAGTTTTGCTCATTTTCACTCCATTTCTTTCACGGGAGTCGATATTGGAGCAACTTGGGAGTTCCATTTTCACCACCAAGCATGAGGTAAGTGGTTTATACTAGTTTGAGTTAAATACATCGATTATGTATATGTTTTAACATGGAAATTAGTAGAAATTTAGGATTTTGAGGAAAAATCTAGAAATTTTTTCTTGGATTTTGACCACGATTTTGGACATGAAGTTGAGAGTAAATTATATATTTGAGCTCGAAAGGTTATGGGTAAACTGTATCTCCGAAAAATTTCGGAATCCGGGCACGTGGTCCTGAGGGTGATTTTTATCGACTTTTCGATTGGGGTTAGAAATTGTTATAAATTGGATTATAATGAGTATTCGAACGTATATTAATGTGTTTGCATAATTATTGGCTAGTTTTGGAGCGTTGTGCATCGGTTTGAGTCGTCGGAAGGGCTTGGAAGCCAATTTTGGAACTTCGGAGCGAGGTAAGTCTCCTTTCTAACCTTGTAAGAGGGAATTATCCCCATAGGTGAATTAATTGGATATGTGTTTCTGATTGTGGGGGCTACGTACGCACGAGGTGAAGAGAGTCCGTTCGTAGCTACTATTATGCTTAAGTCCGGGTAGTCTAGGACCGAAAAAATATGCTTTATTTGGAATAATTGTAACCTTATTGACAGTTTAAATTGCTTAAATCATATCGAAGTGGTGAATGATTTTCTAAAAGAGTTAAACTTCATTTTCTTGACTTGTAAAAGAGGAATTGACCTCCTTGAATAATTGTTTTACTTATGAAGTCTTGATTGACTGTTTGAATGTGTATCTCTATGCGTACCTGCGTCGCAAGTATGATTCGAGAGCGGGGTGATTCCTTATTTATATTTTACCGCGTCGCATGTATGATTCGCGAGCGGGGTTATTCTTTATTTATATTTGACCGCGTCACATGTATGATTCTCGAGCGGGGTAATAGATGCATCTATGGTTCGCGCCATTCGACCCTCCAGCAGTACGACCTCGACATGATTTGCGCATGCTTGTATTGCTTGCCTTGACATTTATAAATAACGATATTGCCTCTCTGGCCTTAGAAAAATCGATAAATGATGAAATACTAATTTTGGAAATCTCTTATTATTAAAGGACTAGTTTACCTACTTCATGCTTATTGAGTTTGAAATCACTTTATAAAAATCCATGCTTCTACACATTTTGGTATTTATTTATTAGACCACTAGTGAGTGTCGAAGTCGACCTCTCGTCACTACTTCTTTGAGATTATATGGGATACTTACTGGGTGCGCTTTGTTTTCGTACTCATGCTACACTTGCTGTGTATTTTTGTTGCACAGGCACACGCACGTCTAGTGGCCTCGTCGGGCATAGCGACATGGTTGATACGGAGACTTAGGTGAGCTGCATCTCTCGAGAGGACCCGCAACCAGCAGAGTCTCTTTTAGAGTATTGTATTTCTTTTCTATCCAATTATATTCCGGACAATTATCGTATTGTACTTTATTTCCTAGAAATTATTCATGCACTCGTAACACCGTATTCTGGGATGACTATGAGACTATTCAATATTCAAGTTTGTTAAAGACTATTATTTAATCAGTAAAATTCATTATTTATTGTTTAAATGTAAGGAAAAGAAATGATTTCAAAAAAAAAAATACTAAAATGAGTATTTAGTTAACTTCTTAGTGTTGGCTTGCCTGACAGTGGTGTCCGGCGCCATCACGACCTTCAATGGATTTTGGGTCATGACAACATGGTATCAGAGCACTAGGTTCACTTAGGCCTCACGAGTCATGAGCAAGTCTAGTAGAGTCTTGCGGATCGGTACAGAGACGTCTGTACTTATCTTCGAGAGGCTACAGGTCTATTAGGAGCACTTCCCTTCTTGATTCCTCATCGTGCGGTTTGATTCCTTAGAGTCTTATGCCTTCATTTCCTTCCTTTTCAATCTTATGCGACGTGAAAGGTAGATCTAAATCGGGAATCGAGGAATTTTAATGGTACTATAGATAAGGTGCAGGATGTTTCTCCTTGCGTAGTTGTTTGGGCTATTATCGTCGCTTTGCGGAAGGATATTCTGTCATTTCAGCTCAGTAGCTGTACTTCTGAGAGCTTTGAGGCTACGCACATGTTGCTATGATGCTTATGAACGGTTATCGCGCAATATTGATGTGATGGTAGGATGCTTGCCTTTGTGTCAGGCAGTAAATGACTTGAAAGGAGGTTTACTCAGAGCACGATTCAGAGATTCG